GGCACCTTGGGGGGGGTGGGACTGTGCAAAGAAGGGGTACAGGGGCCTAACATGGGCGCTGGTCAGTTCTGCCATTTTGGTAGGATTAAAACAAGCTGTCCCAGAGGCAGGAAGGGATCTCAGTGCCATCAAGAGACAAGAGCTGGAGTTGGAGCAGAGTGTGTCCTTGGACGTGGATCCCTGTGCTGGACGTCCTCAGAAGAGACAGTAGCAGCAGGACCAACAGACAAGCATGAGAGAGAGCGGAGGGCCTGCCAGACCGCAGAGCGAGAAAGCCGAGTGCCTTTGGGCAGGGGGCTTACTGGCGAAGTAGGGTGCATGTGGGTGCCCCTATGAGCAGAGCTAAAAGAGCTTTGTAACACTTGCCTGAGGAGGGCAAAGGCTAGGCCGAGAGGCTGCAGGCCTACGAGAAGCGAGCCTGAGGGCACAGCCGAGGGGAGACTGTCCTGATGGAAGAATTACATCCCGAGTGTGCTCCTGAACCGGAATTGTAGCCTGTTGCTTCCCTAATAAACCCCGTAGTCGTGAGTATTGTCTGAGTGCTCTGCGTGGCCATTCCAAGAAATTAGGAAACCCAGCAGAGCAGGAGTGGGCGCCGCGGGAGGGACAGCTGGTGGCAGAGGTGGCAGAGGGCTGAAGGGTGGCGGTGGCGGCCTGTCCGGCCTCACAGGCATCAGCCTTGGGCTGCTGACAGTGACTGTCTCCCCCTCGTGAGGCTGGAGATCAGAGGGTGCTGCCCCCACGTCCTCTCTGCAGAATGTGAGGGCCTCAAGCTCACGGTGACACTGAGCACTGAGCTCCACCCAAGATGGGAGCCCAGCTCAGCCCAGGTCTCTGACGGGGGAAGGGAGCAAGAAGCAGGAGCCCACTGGGCCTGTCTGTTCACAATCTGAGTGACACAACTAAGCCGCCACCAGACCAAGGCCCCAGAGAGCCCCGCAGACACCCCCGCCCCCAGGAGAAAGCTGTCCCCGAAGCCCCCAGGGCGCTCTGCAGGACACTGGGGAGGCTGCAAGTCCTACCTGAAGGCGTAGGTTTTCTGGTGCCAGCTCAGCTGTCCCCGGATGCTGTAGGCGATGGTGGTGACAAACTCCCCGCCCAGGCCCAGCTCTGAGCACAGCTTCAGAGCAAACTTCTCGGGCGAGTTCTCCTTCTCCGACATGTCCCACTCGAACTGGTCCACCAGGGAGATGTTGCCCACGTGGATGTTCAGCTAGGGCCAGACATGCGGTCAGTGTGTCTACA